CATGAGGTTTGCTGCCCTCCGGGGACTCCTGGAGGTATGTGCATCACTCAGCGTTATTCGCTGTAGAGCAAAAGACACACTTCCGCCTGAATTAAATAGAAAGTAAATTTATGAAAGGTCTGTGGGCACAAAAAGTGGATGAGTGGGCGCTGTTTGAGAACTGGCTGAGGGCTATGCAGCCAGGACCAATGCTCAAAATCACGCCACAGGAATGTCTGGGAAGGCGCCACTGTTTCCACCTCATGTGGGCAGCAGATGCCACCGCTTGTGTCCCTGACACTGGACATTAGGTGCTGTGTCGCCATAACTGAGGCGGGATTGTGCAGGTGGACTGTTATCCCTACCAGGTAAAAACAAATGACTTCTCGATTCTCTGCTTATGGGGATAAAGAAGAAAGCCTTTGCCAGGGGCTGTGTTTCCTCAATAAAGAAACACCTGCAAAGCAGCTGCAGTTTGACTCACCTCTTATCACTGAATCCACTGTAATTTTCCAAGACCCGTCTGTCTTCTGCCTTACACAATCCACTACATTAAGTTGAAGTCTGACAGGAGTCAGTACCCCTTCGCCTTTCAGGCCTTCAATGGTGGCATTCATCCTTGCAATTCCTCCAAGAATGCAGCGCCAGCTTTGGTTTGCTATTCTGCTAGTAGCGGGGGACACTCCAGAGGCTTCCACTTGGCGCTTACCATGATAAAGCCTCTTATTCTACGAACTGAGAAACAATGTGAAGATGACGATAGTTGCAGAGTGTATTTATTCCAAGTGCATACTCAGAAGGTGTGGAAATAGCCACAGGAGGAGTTAAGAATTCCACTACACCAACCATGAAGTATACGTAGGTCAAATTTCCCTTTATCACCTAATCATCATAAGCCCCCATTCTAACTAGCAGACCACAGTGGCATTCAGAAATCATTAGCTTAGAGCCAGCATCCAATAATCCCTGAAATATATGGGTATTTCTTTTTCCTGAAAGCAAATTACTCCAGCAAATGGCACGTACTCATTCTAATATTGCCTCCTTTTTCTGTTCAGGCTGTTTCTGATTTGCTCAAAACCCCTTTTCAGGGGCCAGCCTGGTGGCGTAGCAGTTAAGTTAGCGAGCTCTGCTTCGGCGGCCTGGGGTTTGCAGGTTCAGATCCCAGGCACGCACCAACGCACCGCTTGTCAAGCCATGCTGTGATGGCGTGCCATATAAAGTAGGAGAAGATGGGCACGGATGTTAGCCCAGGGCCAGTCTTCCTCACACACACACAAAAAAAACCCTTTTCAGCGGTTTCTGCAACTGGAATCACCGGGAGTGATTCTTTTTTAAAAAAATACCAATATTCTTGTCACATCACACAGAGAGAGTCACCTTGTGAGGAAAGGCCCATTTTTCTACCCCCACCACACTTCATTGTCTCCAAATCTATAATCAGAGTCAAATCTCAGCATGTCTCAGGGGGCCAATTAGAAAGTCAGCCTGGAGAAAGGCTTGCGTGTGTACACACACACACACACACACACACACACACACAAACAGGTCTGAGCCAGAGAGATGATGAGCGGGAAAGTCAGCTTGAGGGGACTAGAGAAAAGCTGACTGTTGGGTCCGTGTCCTCCCTTGCCTCTGGGATCCCTTCTGATTGGAAGGAGAAGCCGGGGCTGGAGGTGGGAGGTTGTACTCTGCGCCCTGGGGGACAGCTGACTTTTAGCTGTTCCCAGGGTCCTCAAGGCCTTCTGCCAGCACACAGGCCTCAGAAGAGGGACTCAGTGAATGTTTGATCAATGCACCTGCAAGGGTCTTATTATAAGCAGCAATTCTCAAACCTGGATACACACTAGAATCCCCTGGGGAGCTTTAAAAACTGTCATGATGCCTGAGGCTCGCTTCCAGAGACACTGACTCCACTGAGGTGGGCCTGAGGGAGGAGGAGGGACCAGCACATTGGTATTTTTTAAAAATCACTCAAAGTGATTCCAGTTGTAGAAATCTCTGGACTAGTGGGCTGGATAAGGCAGTGGTTCTCAACCTTGGCTGCACATTGAAAACAGCTGGGAAGTTTTAAAAAAAAATACTGATGAATGTCCAACCTAAAGATTCTGATTTGATTATTTAATTTATCTGCTTGGGTATGAGGATTTTGCACAGCTTACCAGGTGATTCTAATGTGCAGAACTAAATTAGGATAAGGTTGAGAACCACTAAGAGAATGAATGAATGAATGAGGAAATGAATGAAGGCATGAATGAATCTATAGTCCTACATTCAGACTTACAGCGACCCTGTGAGTGGTGGGTGTGGGGGTGTGGGGGTGTGGTTGCAAGGGTGGGGATTATCCATATCATTTAGCACTGGGAGACTGAGGCCCATAGAACTGAGAGGAAGGAACTCAAGCTTTTGGAGGGTCCACTCTGTACTGGGCACTGGCCTAAATGCTTTAAATGAATTTCCTTGTTGAACCCTCACAACAACCCTGGGAGGATAGAGATTATTAGACCCCATTTTACAGAAGTGGAGCCAGGACTCCCAGAGGTTAAATGACTTGCCTGCAGTCACACAGTGACATCGTGGCAGAGACTGGACCAGATGCAGGTCGCCTGAAGCCAATGCCATTCCAACTCCCACCGAAATGACTGGCTCCATCTGCCCCGGAGCCACCGTGGCCTGACCCCCATTCGCCCCCAGAGCCTGTCTGGCCTCTAACTGGAGCTTAGCTAACAGGCATCTCTGGGGGCGTAGGGGCAGCGCTGTCCAGGCCCAGAGCTGCGGGAGTGAGAAGGACCACATGCGGAAAAGTCCCTGGAACCCAGTCAGGAGAGGTCTTGGTCCCAAACAGCTTGTCGGGACACAGCTCTAAGAGCAGAGGAATGTTGTCTGGACAGGGGCCAAAGAATCAAGTCTGCTGGACAAAGGGAGCACTCGCTAGGAGCCCAGAGGCCAGGCTGAGGAGGCGGCAGGAGATGGGGGCAACACAGACACATAAGCTTCCCAACTGCCTTTTCTTAAGAAGGAACAACTGACCTTCATTCTGAGATGATAACCTTCCCACATTGTGTTAAGAGGAAGTTAAATCAAATTATTTTATGAAATGAGAGCAGATGCTAATTGTGATCCCCCCACACACATCTTTGGCAAAATAAAAAGGTGGCAACCCTATGCTGGTATCTCCATTTGGTGTGTTTGTTTATTTTTTATTGGTCCAAGAAATCGGAAAACCTGGAAACCAAAGGTTTCTCTAGGTGTTTGGGGATGGAGGAGACTGAGAGGCCAGGAAGTGGAGACAGCAGGTGCACACGATTTTTTGCAGATCAGGGCTACTCACAGTGTGGTTCCAGGACTGGAGGCAGCAGCACGACCTGGGAGTTGAGAGAGCAGACACCTGGTCCCCACCCCAAACCTACAGAGTCAGAATCTCTGGGAATGGAGCCCTGCAATCTGATTTAACAAGTGATTCCGATGCACATCAAAGTTAGAGAACCACTCCACCGCTTGTGAAGAGGCCAAGAGAAAGGGAAGGGGCTGGAGAGCAGAGTAGGATTAAGGGATGATATTTGTGGCTGTTGTTTTAGTGCAGAAAATACTTGAGCTTTTTCTTTTTTAACTTTTTATTGAAATACAATATACGTCCAGAAAAGCACGTGTCGTAACCGTGGATGCGTTTTCACAATCAGGAACCCATGTCACGGACACCAGATTAAGAAACCAGCTTTACCTGCATCCCAGAAGCCCTCCTGTGCCTCTCTCAGTCACTGTCTGACTTATAATGGCAGATACTAGCTGTACTTGTTCTTGTGATTTATATAAATGGAAGCAAATCGTATGTGTCTTTCGGGTCTGGCTTCTTGCACTTATCGTTGTGTTTGTAAGATCCACCTATATCACGGCATACGATTGCAGATCCCTCATTCTCCGCTGCAGAGTATTCCACTGTGTGCCTGCACCACTCATTCTGCTGATGATGGGTGTGTGGGGACTTTCCAATTCCGGACTGCTCCGATAGTGCTGCTATGAACATTCTGGTACGTCTGTTGGGTACATCCCTAGGAGAAGGATTTCTGGGGACTCAACCCTGTTTAAATGTTGTTGAGAAGTAAACAATAGAGACAATGTGAAGCTACAGGAGAGGGGGTCAGTGAGAGAGTGAGGTCCCTGGGGAAGCAGGAGGCAAGAGCCGGGAGGGTTGGGGCCAGAAGCAGAGGTGGGGAATGGCTTTTCCATTGCAATGGGTGGGGAGGAGAGAGCAGTGTGGACAGTGGGTCTGTAGCTGGGGGTGGATGTGGGGGGCTCCCTGTGTTGGCCTTGATCTGTCTGTGTGAAGTAGGAGGCAAGGTGTCTGCTGGGAGTGCAAGTCGGAGGGTTTGGGGTTTGAGGCAGGGGAGATGGAGAAGGTTTGAAGTGGTCATAGCAGAGAGTGGTCAGCAGAGAGATGACTAGAGAGCGGATGAGACTGGAGTCCATAACTTGTCCTGCGGCACTCTCTGGGGTGGTACAATTTTCCCACAGACCACATCCTTGATGTGAATCCCAGAGAGAAGGAACTTGGAAACTCCTGGTTTCCAGGCTGCCACTCCCTGAGAGGTCTGTGGCGCCACCTGCTGGACAAGAGCCACATGACATGCCCAGGTGGTTAACCTTCATCACCCAAGAAGTTGCTCCCCAGATGGAGAAATCCAGATCCCTGAAGTGACCTCAGACTGAGCCTTGACCTCAGCCAGAGACCAGATGCTCCCACACCAGAACTAGCCACATGCTGAGCCCTGATCCAAGCCACAATGTGACTGTAGTTTTAATCCAAGCTCCACTGTCCCAGATTAGAGTCCCGAACAGGCCAAGGGATCCAGGGCTACATCCCCTAAAGGGAGGGGACCAGTGGGCACCAGGTCTCAGGTCTGTGGCCTGAGGACTGGGCTCCTCCTACCTCACTGAGCTTCAGCTCCCGACAGGGTCCCTGCAGTAAGCGGCCCTGTGCCCTAATGGGGCAGGCTCACTCACAGCCTCCCTGGCCCCGTGCCCTGCCCAGACCTGTTCTAGATTCCACACCACCCTTCCCCCAGGCAGCCTCCACCTCCCACCCACCGGGCTCCGGCCGGGCCTCCGGAGACTCAGCTGAGAAGGCTGACAGGCAGGAGGGCTGGGGCGGCACCGCGGGGCCATGGAACCCACTGCAGGGCCTGTGCACTACCAGAAGCTGCTGCTCTGGGAGCCGCGCTCGGAGTCTGAGGAGGAAGAGGAGGAAGAGGAGGAGACAGCAGAGCCACTCGTTCCCAACCCCTGGCGGCCCCAGGACTCCTCTGGGTGAGTCAGGCAGGGGTCTGGGCACCCGGCAACTCAGGCCTGAGCCCATAAGGGGGGCCAGACAACTTCGTGCTTGGCTCAGCTCCAGGAACTTTCTAGTTGAATGCGGGGAACCTAGGCTGCAGCCCCAGACCTGGCCAGCACCAGTCAATCCAAGGTCTGTGCGTCTGAAGGGACATTTGTACCAAGCCAGCCCTGCCAGCTGCTCTGTCAAAGTTCCCAGCCTCCACCCCCTGGTGCAAAAGGCACCTGCTGGGCAGGCTACACCTGGCTAGGCCCTGCTCCTCAGGCCTCCCTCCTGATTGGCTCAACCCTGCCTCTCCAACCTCCTCTCCAGAGATTCCTTCCCAGCTGTCCTCAGTTTCCCTATGATCTTTCCCATCCCCAGGTCTCCATCCACGATGTGCCCTCTGCCAGGAGGCCCTTCTCCTCAGTGAACTTGTATTCCTCTTGCAAGCAAGACCAAACCTTCTGGGAAATATTCTCTGGGTTCTCTGGGGCTCTTGGGTGTCCCCTGCCCCAGCCCTGGCTCAGGACACCCCCCTATGCAGGAACAATGTTGGTGGTCTGCCCGGAGCCTGGGCCCGACTGGTTGCCGCCCTGCTGCTGCTGGCTGTTGGCTTCTCCCTGGCTGTGTGGCAACTCCACACCAGGGGTGGCTCTTCAGAACCCCTGGGCTCTGTGGCCCCTCTGCCCAGCGGGCACTCCCACCGCCCCGGCGTATACCACCATGGAGCCATCATCAGCCCTGCAGGTCAGTGCTGGGGGCAGCTCAGGGGAGTGGAGGAGCCGGGGTGACTGGTCCCAGGCCCCTCCCCATGACAGGCCCTTCTTTGCTACAGCCACGTGCTCCCACCTGGGCCGAGAGCTGCTTGTCGCTGGGGGCAATGTCGTGGACGCTGGAGTTGGAGCAGCTTTGTGTCTGGCAGTGGTGCATCCTCATGCCACAGGGCTAGGTCAGTGACCCACGACCCCAGACAGAGACCCCAACCCCAGGCCTGATGGGTGACCTGGAACTCAGACAGTCAGCGGCCCTCACCTCAGGGCTGGTTAGTGAGTAGGACCTAGGACTTGGGCAGTAGCCCCGACCTTGGCTGTGACCCTTGATCCCAAGTTTGTGTGATCTTGACCCCAGGCCTGGTTATTGACCCATCTTCAGGCCTAGTCAGGAACTCCTGACCCCAGGCTAAGTCAGTGACCCTGATCCCAGTCAGTGCCGCTTACCCCGGTGTGACCCCTTTCTCTCCCCTCAGGTGCCATGTTCTGGGGCCTCTTCCACAATAGCTCCTCAGGCAATTCAATTGCCCTGACGTCAGGCCCAGCCCAGATCCTGGCCCCCGGCCTGGGGCTGCCCTCGGCTCTGCCTACCCTGCGCTTGCTGCACACACGCTTCGGCCGCCTGCCCTGGCCACGCCTGCTGGTGGGCCCCACCATGCTGGCTCAAGAGGGCTTCCTGGTAGACACAACCCTGGCCCGGGCTCTGGCAGCCCAGGGCACGAAGGGCCTCTGTCCACTCCTTTGCCACACTGACGGGACTCCCTTGGGCCCTGGGGCCCGAGCCACCAACCCAAAACTGGCGGCCGTGCTACACAAGGCAGCCCTCGCCCCCACCCCAGACCTTGCCGGGGAGGCCCTACTGAATCTGCTGGCCAGAGACCTGGGGCTGGAGGGACCCTCAGCAGGGCCCAGGCCCACCCTGGAGCCAGCACTGCAGCTCCCTGTGCCCCAGGGCATCCTGTTCACCACCCCCAGCCCCTCAGCTGGCCCAGAGCTGCTGGCACTGCTGAAGGCAGCCCTACACTCCGGAGGGCCCAGCCCTGACCCCTGCCCACCACTCTTACAAGCTACTGTGACCCCCGGGAGCAGTGCCCTGGCTACCGTGGACAGCAGTGGCTCTGTGCTCCTTCTCACCTCCTCGCTCAACAGCTCCTTCGGCTCTGGACACCTGTCCCCAAGCACCGGGGTTCTACTCAGCAACCTTGTGGCCAAGTCTGCAACTAGTGCCTGGGCCTGCCCCCTCATCCTTCGTGGCAGCCTGGATGACACAGAGGCCGACGTGTTGGGGCTGGTGGCTTCAGGGACCCCTGCAGTGGCCAGAGTCACGACTCGCACCCTGCTCAGCCACCTGGCCGGGCCCCAAACCCAGGCCCAGCAAGGACGAACAGAGAGCCCCAGTGTTTGTGGCCAAGGGACCCTGCTCCAGGTGGCAGCACATGCAGAGCATGCCCACGTCTCCAGTGTCCCCAATGGCTGCTGCCCCTTCCAGGGGTTCTAAGCGGGGAGAGTGTCTGGCAGGGAATGGGGGGTGTGGGGTCTCAAGCCTGGACGCAGGGGCAGAGCAGGTCCAGCAGCCATGGAGTGCATAAAAGTGTGCATCGATGTGTTCACTGCTGGCTCAAGCCCTCAACCTCTGGCCTGGTCAGTTACCTGGACTAGAGTTCTGGCTCTTTTTTCATCTAAGGAACCTGAGGATAATAAGGAAGGGGCAGCAGGGCCTGGGGCCAGCCCCGAGTTCAGATCCAGCTCTGGGAAGGACAGGGGGAAGGAAGCCAAGCCCCGCCTGGGTTCTGGGCACCACGGACAGGGCAGGCAGAGCCTGGGTACTGCTGGCATCTCCGTCCTCCGCTTCAGGCCACCCTCTGCTGATCTCCCTCAGTGGGCTGGAAAGGAAATAAAGATCACGTCTCCTGGATGCCATGTGCCATTCCTGCTTCTTGGTAAATTTCCCATCAGCCTTTGAGGTGCCTGGTGTCAGGGCTTCCCCCATGGGCAGCACAGCAGACCCACACCCAGAAAGGCAGAGCCCAGGCTGGTGTCCTTCAGCTCCCCTGCTCTGCGCACCTCCTGCCTCCTGGGGCACCATACATACAAGGTAAACCTCTTACTCTCACTTTCTAAAAGAGACAGCAGAGCGAGGAAGGGGTTGAAAGGGTGCCCCAGGGGCCTGGGTACAAAACGGGCTGGAGCTGGGTGTGTGGAATTTACAGGCCGAGTTTAGCCCTGACCTCCCCCCTCTCCCAGAGAGTGGGGGCCTCTCTGGACCACAGCCCTCCAGAGACAGCTTCTCAAGTCAAGAAGCGGGGGTGCACTCCTCCCCCCACTGTACAAGGCATCTCTCATTTAATGGAACTCTTGATCCCACCACCTCCCCCTCCCCCCCACCAAAGAAAGTTCTTCCCCAGCTCAGTAAATGGTACCACGATCTGCGCGGTTATTTTAGCCCCAAACCTGACATCCCTCTCTTTTTCCTCTCCCCCCAACATCCATCACCCCCTACCGGCTCCAAGTTAGCTGGAACCTGGCCTGTTCCTGTGTTACCTTGGCCAATCCACCACTGTCTCTGTCCTTCCTGCTTCTGCCTTTGCACTCCTACAGTCCATCCCCCACACAGCGACAGAATAATCTTTTAAAAATGTAAATGGGATCAAGGCTTGCGCTTGCACAAAACCCTCCGATGACTTCCCATCACGCTCAGAATAAACCCCAAACTCCTGGTCTCCCGGAATGAGAGCATAAGAACCGCGGCCGGCCCAGCCCCCTCCGGGCCCCGCCTCCCAGCCGACCCAAACCAGTGCGCATGCGCCGCGACCTGACCTGGAAGAGGCTGTCTTCGGAGCCCACGTGTTCGAGGAGCATGGCGGAGATGGAGAGTGAGGACGTCGCAGAGACTATGTCCCCGGGGGGAGCGACGAAGAGCGGCGCCCGGCCCGCCGACCGCCATGGCCTGCTGAAGCACAGCCGCGAGTTCTTGGACTTCTTCTGGGACATTGCGAAGCCGCAGCAGGAGACGCGGCTTGAGGCCACGGAGAAGCTGCTGGAGTATCTGCGCACAAGGCCAGAGGTATGGTGGCGGGGCCTGGGGCAGGGGACTGCGTAGATCCCGGCACAGTTGTGGCGGCGGGCCCCAGGGGTTGGGACGGGGGTCACGTGGTCGCGAACCTGGATGCCCAGGTGAGCGCGATCTGGGTGCGGGGGTGGGCGGGTGCGGGACGATTCTTCTCACTGGTCGACCGGAGGATGCGCTTGGTTCCGCAGGGATCCGAGATGAAGTACGCCCTGAAGCGCCTCATCATTGGCCTCGGGGTCGGGCGAGAAACCGCCCGGCCTTGCTACAGTCTGGCCCTGGCACAGGTGAGGTGGTGGCTCCGGGAAGGAGCCTAGCCGTGCTGGTCAAAACGGTGTGGGGTGAGGAGAGCAGATGTCTCAGCTGCAGAGGAAGAGGCACTGGTCTGAGGGAGAAGTTGGGGGTGGCATCTGAGCTGATGGGAGGCGTCCCCACGTGGAGGTGGAGAACGTGTGTGAGCAGGCCTGTCAGCAGAGAAGCCCAGGCAGATGGAGTGGGAGCTGGAGCAGGTTCTTTCTTGTACACGATTGATCGGCCTCTTAGATACATTTACTGGGAGTGGTAAGCTTTGTGGGGGGTGGGGGGTTCCCTTATCTCTGCAAGGTTCAGGGCCCTCTCCCCCCACAAGGAGCACGAGGCTGAGGAACGTGGACAACTGGAAGGGCGATAAAGATCCGGTGCTTTAGGATCAGCCTGGGAGGACCTCAGAGCAGGCTGTGGGGACAGTGTCTGGGAATCTCAGTGGAGGGATCTAGGCACCAAAGGAGGTACTTTCTGAGCCCAGGGGGGCATGGGGCAAGGAGGCAAGATTCAGCTGCATTCAAGCAGCAGAGTTCATCATCAGCGGTGCTCAGAGGGGAGTGAGCAGCTTCAGAGGCATCCTTGGAGTGGGAGCAGGGGCCCCAGGCCTCTGGGCAGAAGTTGAAGGGAGAAGTGGGAGGGGGTTGAGTCCACTGGAATGTGGCTGGACCACTCCTCTGAATCCCTCTCTCCCTCCTGCCACAACTCCTGGCAGCTGTTGCAGTCTTTCGAAGACATACCCTTGTGCAGCATTCTGCAGCAGATACAAGAGAAGCATGACCTGCAGAAGGTTAAGAAGGTGAGAGTTAGTGGCCCCAGGGGGGTCAGCAGCCCTGCCCTGGCTGGAGTGGGGAATACTCAGGCCCTTCTCACCGGTGTGTGGAATCCTTTTTCTAGGCAATGATGAGACCTGCTCTCTTTGCAAACCTGTTTGGAGTGCTAGCTCTCTTTCAGTCAGGCAGGCTGGTGAAGGTAAGAGCTTTGGGAGTACAGCGGGTAGGGGGACAGGCTTGGGGGGCAGTGGCATGCCCTGCTCATACCCTCTCCCCCTCTGTGAGTACCAGGACTCGGAGGCACTGATGAAGTCAGTGAAGCTGCTCCAGACCCTGGCCCACTACTACAACCACTTGCAGGAGCAGCCCCAGAAGGCCCTGGTGGACATCCTCTCTGAGGTACGTACGGGCTGACCAGCTGTGGGACCTCGGGTAGCGCTACGTGTTATAGAAACATGGAGAAGGCTCAGTTCATGCTCTAGAGCAGCGCTAGCCCATAGAAACATAAAAGTATGTAACTTGACATTTTTAGTAACTACGTTAAAAGGTAAAAATAAACAAGTGTAGTTAGTAACAAATTTCAGTTAACCTAATATATCTAAGGTATTATTTCAGTATGCAATCAGTATAAAAAAATTGTAGAGATGCTTTACGTTTTTTGTCGTATTAAGTCTCCAAAACCCACTGTGTATTTTATGCATACAGCACATTTCCATTCAGACTTGCACATTCCGAGTGCTCAGTAGGCACATGTGGCCAGTGGCTGCCATATTGGGCAGTGCAGTTCTAGAACAGTGCCTGGCATGTGGCAAGTATATTAAACACGTTTGCTGTTGTCTGGGGCAAAGCTGACCCATCAGGGGCCCCCACTGCCCTACTTGAGAAATGGAGGTAGGCTGGTACCCAGAATCCTTTGCTACTGAGGAAAAGACAGGGACTGGCACATCCTGGGCCAGGGCTCTCTGCGTAGCCCGGGCTGCAGAAGCCAGAAGAACCTAGATTCAAATCCTAGCTCTCCATTTGGGGTTCCTTGTGTAAGAAATGGGCTAGTCCTGAAAACCCAAAAGAGGAATAATTAAAAGGGTAGCCCTGGGCCAGTTGGCATCAGCGGGGTGTTAGTTGAAAGCCCAGCTTCCTGGGATGGAAACCCAGCTTCCTGGGACTTGGGAATTTGAGCTTTTTAACAAATGCCCTCTGGTGATTCTGATGTCCAGCAAGGTGGATTGTGGCTGTGCCACCTCAGGCTGGCACTCTGCCAGGGGCCTCACAGGAGCCTGGCAGGTAGACCAGGGCCCATAGGGCTCACTCCACAGGGAAAGACAAAAGGTGCCGTGAGGAAGCCACCCTTCATCAATCCGTCTCCCCACCCCAGGTCCCAGAGGCCACATTGCAGGAGGTCCTGCCAAAGGTCCTCAAGGCCGACTTGAATTCCGTACTTGGCTCCCCTGAGCACCTGCAGCTCTTCCTCCTGGCCCAGCAGAAGGTGCCCGCAGAGCTCGAGAAGCTGATGGGATCGGTCAACCTGTTCTCAGACGAGAATATCCCCAGGTGTGAGGGAGTTGGGCGGATGGGCTCTCCCTGGGGCCGCAGCTGGCCATCAGCAGGTTCGCAGTGTGGCCTGGGGGTGTCCCTGCTGCCCCAGGCGCCCTGGCCGTTCCTCTTTGGTGGCTGCCCCCTGAGTCCCCTCTGCCCCCTCCGCAGACTGGTGAGCGTCCTGAAGACAGCTGCTGCCTCTGTGAAGAAGGAGCGCAGGCTGCCCACCGTGGCTCTGGACCTGCTCCGCCTGGCGCTTCAGGAGGACAAGTTCCCGCGGTTCTGGAAGGAAGTTGTGGAGCAAGGGCTACTGAAGAAGCACTTCTGGCCGGCCAGGTGCGTGTGGCACTGGTCACTCTCCACGCCTCTGGTTGTTTAGCGGGGCTGGGCCGGCAGCACCCCCGGGGGAACCGAGGGCTCTGACCAGGCTCTGTCCTATGCCGCTTAGCTACCTATGTTTCCGCCTGCTGGGCGCGGCCCTGCCTCTGCTGTCCAAGGAGCAGCTGCAGCTGGTGATGCAGGGAGACCTGATCCGACATTATGGGGAGCACCTGGTCACTGCTAAGGTGGGTGCCGCCCCTACAGCCCAACACAGCCAGAAAGGGCCAGGCAACTGGGATTCTTCCTGCCAAGAAGGGGGGCGGGCCGCCTCAGGGGTCTGCCAGCTTCTGGAAAAGAGGATTGCTCTTTACTCCAGCATCAGGGGTGGTCCTGCCTGGGACGGGCAAGCGCAGCTGCTGTTGGCAGGGGCCTGGGACCTGGGTGTCCCTTCCCTTTGAGGAAAGTGAGCTGCCCCTCATCCCCTCTGAACAGAGTTTTGGCAAGGTCAGCCCCTCTGCCCTCAGGCCCCTCGGCAGAGGCCTGTACAGCCAGCGGTCTGTCAGACCTCCCGCCACCCCTGGGTGGTGTTACCATAAGGATTGTTGTCACCACCGATGTTGTTTTGGGCATTGTCCACACACCCCACACTAAGCTAAGTGCTCGGCGGGAGGATCGGTCGCTGGTTAAGAGCGTGGAGTCGGGGGAGCGGGCTGCCGGTCCAGCCCTGACTCCACCGCTCAGTCACCGTGTGACCTTGCACAGCTTGCTTCCCTTCCCTGGGCCACCTCTCCTTCTCTGTGAGACAAGGGGAACGGTACTCTCCTCAGAGTTGTGAAGATAAGCGGGTTAATATCCACGGGGCACTGGAGGCAGCGCCCGGTACACGGGACGTGCTGCTGGGTTTGCTCATTTCATCTTTAC